GTTAAAATGATAATGTTAAACATAATGTATCGCATGTAACATTTAATGAATCGAACTCATGCATGGACTAAGTGAACTGTCGAGAAAAACTGACATCAACTATCGATATTGATAGATCATCTGTTGATACCGACAATTGATATCCAAACAGGACTGGAGTGAGGTGAAATATCGAGAATAATTGAGCTGAAGTGTCCGAAATGATAGTTCACTGGGAGTTGATCTGCCTACTGAAGTGAGCTGTGCAACATAAGTGGACAAAGGAGACATGCAAGGACAACGTTTAAACCACAATCAGTTCAATACGAATGCAAGGTATGAGCCTGTAATTCATGTGTGAAGCCAATTCTTACAACAAAAACTATGAATGATCTGCTCAAATCGTATGCCATGCATAATCATGATTTTCCAAGCATAAAGGATCGGGTTATATGATGAACACTTCTGACTATATACATAAATGACTTCAAATATGACCTTATTACATAAATGACTCAGCGATAAGTGTACATGCAAATGCACAGACGGTTCATATTTTGGGAAAATGGAAGTACCCACACTTTGACATATCCGAATAACCTTACATTATAAGAACAAATTATACTCAATTAATGAAATCCCATATATTCAATTACTCGGTTATTTCTCTCTAGGAAACTAAGAATGCAAGTTGTAGAATGAAATAAGATATTAAATTTCTCATACATCGGAAAAAAGTGAAACAAAAGGGAATTTTTCGTACTAAACCAGCCAAATGGAAACATGAGAACACATGGTGCATCTTACTGTAGAATGGAATGAGATATTAAACTTGTCATACATCAGGAAAAAGTGAAACAAAAGGGCTTCTTCAAAATGGTGTGCTGTGTAGAGCATTTATCCAGGGGCACATGGGGCCACTCCTGCCAAAAGAGGGAGGAAATCCCAGGCTAAATGGCTTTACTCTTATCATTCTCCCGATGATTCTCGAAAAATAGAATGATAAGAGTTAAATAAATCAAAGAGAAAATCTTGGAGGAAAGTTAAAAAACAGAGAAAAAATCTCTATTTATTGTCTTCTTTAATTTATTAATTTTATTATTATTATCAAAATATATTTTATATCAAATAATATAAAATAAAATAATTCGAAATGTGTTCAAAAAATTCAAGCTGGACAATGTGATATAGACAGATAGTCTAAAACAGGAAAATTTTGTCATCCTTTCATCGCTTTCATGAATAAATCAACAACTCAGTTATTTGTAAATTGAGAAATAATAGTCTAAAACAGGAAAATTTTGTCATCCTTTCATCGCTTTCATGAATAAATCAACAACTCAGTTATTTGTAATTTGAGAAATAATTGCCCTTCACTTCGTGCAAAAGTACAGAAGTTATTGCCTTAAAAGAAAAAACATTCCAAATATCTTATTAACAATGCTTGAATAAAAAATAAATAGTAAAATATGAATCCTAAAATGTATGTAAATAATAAAAAATAAATTCAACTAGCTTAAATTATTTAGTCCAAAATATGCACTAACATTAACTTCTCTTTTTTTTTTTTTTTTACAAGGTGTCCAATTCTTGACTAATCCTTGGGTCTGTGATCCGGCCCCTCTTCACACAGTCCGGTTAATCGCAGGATGTGCCTCCGACTGGCCAGGGTCCGAGCGCTCCCCACCTGGTCTGACAAAGTGCCAAGCAAGCCAATCCAAGTTGCACCTTGCCTTCCAAGAATAATCCTTGCCTTCCAAGTTCCCACTTGCCTTCCAAGAATAAATCCTTGCCTTCCAAATGTTCCCTTGCCTTCCAAGAATAAATCCTTGCCTTCCAAGAGCCCCATGTTTCGAACTCACGACCTCTGTTCTGTCAAATTTGACAGCGTCCGTCCTTTGCCAGTGAAGAAGTGCCTTGGGGGGCAACATTAACTTCTCTGTACATACAAAAGAGGGGGATAGCATAAGAAAATTTAGAATACATATAAAACAAGAATTTATTAGTACAACAAAAAATATATACATATCGTGATATCGATAAGATAAGAAATCCTCCTATAAAAGGGGCATATTTTCGTTCGTTATCAATCTTAGCAAACAAATGACAAATCCCAAGATGACAAAATAGTAACTTCCTTCCTTGCAGTTGCCGAGACAAATAAACCAAGTGAAGTGAGCAACAGAAATTGTTCCTCACATTTCTTAAGTAATAACTAATGAAATATTCTTAAAATGCATCAACAGTTCGCTCTTTTGTTCAATAGGTGCTTCATATTCATATTCCTCTTTTCCAGAAAATGCAAACAAAAAATAAAGAAAACACCAACCTCAAGATATTAGTGACGGTCTTCACTAGCAATGGACAGATTCACGGCGATCGTGGACGGCTAGGTGTTGGATGATTCGATTAACAGAGGAGAGATGATGCTCGACTTTGATCAATTCGAATGATAGAGGAGTGAATTCGTATTTTGTTTTCGTCGTCATCAACAGTGAAGGTCGTCACAGGATGGGACGGAGATGGGCGATTTCAGTGAGAGGAGTGCGTTTAAGTCGGTTTTGTGAGAGATGTGAGTGTGTTTGGGTCAGTTTCATTTTCTTCTTCTTTTGGGCATTTCACCTCCTTATTTTTTTGTTTTATTTCCCACATTGAGTTATTTGGTACACAATTTTGTACAATCTTTTATCAAGTCTTATCTCATTTAATGCAAGACATACAAGGTATTGAAATTATTCAGATGGCCAAAAATGTCCAAAATTCTTCAAAATTGACAATTTTATAAGGGCTCTCAAAAGGTGACATTTTTGAAAATGCAAATCCAAAATTTGACATCTAGTAAAATTTCCACTATTTTAATTTAGCCTCCGTTTGATTTCCATTTTTACCAAAAAAAAAAAAAATTTCTTATCACATCGATGTGGGACCTACGCAATATTTTATCTTATCATTGGAATTCGATTTGTGTACAATTCCAAGTTTACCCTTTTTTTTCCTTTTCATAATACCCATTGCGACCATGTAATCGGCAGTGTTCAATGGAAAAAGCCAAAAGAACAAATTTTAAAAATAGCACACATATCAATAAAAGTCAAAAGTGGTACCCCGCCATTGGAAAATGACGAGCCCATTTCAAATGCAAAACACGTCAGTCCAAATTTTTAGGCACGTCACCGGCTTTTTTTTCCTCTCTCGGTCACGATTTTTTTTTTTTTTCCCTCTCAACGCAAATATTTTCAGACAAATTACACCAAGTGCAACGAGCACATACATATTACCAAAGAAAACATACCGCGAAAACTACCATGTATGATACATTTACTAGTGAATGACATCGGCTGTGCGACAATGACAAGAAGAAAGAAAACAATTTTCCACGGAGATTGCGAATATTTTACAACCATATCGATGTGTCACGACTGCTATGTCATGTAATCCCTATGCCATGTAGTCCCACTCACTTCGCTGTGCTTTCGGTTCATTGATTTCGGCATGCATTTCGTCTTCTGCATTGGGCAGCTCCACCTCGACTGCATCATCATCCACCTCCGCTCTCGTGAATGCCTCGTCCACCACTCCTCAACGCCGTACGGAATTATGAATCCTCATCGTGGCAACAATAATGACAACTTGTGTTTGAAATGGGTAGTTAGGCATACAGTCCAAGATCTTCCATTTTTGTTTCCACACACCGAAAGCACGTTCTATGACTTTCTTGCAGGACAAGTGTCTGAAGTTAAACTTTTCGCGAGTGATCTGAAAGCGACGACGGTATCCCATACGCGCATCATTAAACTGTTGGAAATGATATAGTATGTCCGAACCTTTGTACGGGGCCATATACCCTTGGCAATGAGCAAACTTGGAGTCGACCAAGTAGTACTTCCTTGGGGCTGGCAAAGGAAAATGAATTTCCGAACTATGGATAGCACACGTAAGGATTCGAGCATCGTGTGTATTCCTTGTGTACTCTGCTAGCACGAACGTGAAACATAAGTTGAAATCGTATGCGGCCAGCACATTCTAAGTTAGCACCCCTTTCCGTCCTATGAAGTTCAATCGCTCATTCCGCGGTAGCACAACTTTCACACGTGTTCCATCAATAGCACCAATACATTTACAGAAAAGTGGATGCTTTTTCAGATCCTGCCTGTGGGGCTTGAGACCTTCATTGTAATTCGAGCTTAGTCGAATTAGATGCGCGGCAACGCAAAAATCGCACGTAGAACCTCTTTAACGTAGTGACATATAGTTTGCAGCAAATGGTTGAATAGCGTTGTCACTTGTCGATATCCCTTTTCATGCACTAATCTGCACAAGAAACATGCCAAGTCGCTGGTAGATGTCAACCTGCTGACTGCTGCGCAGCCCATGCTCATCGCGCAACACGTGCGAAATGACACGGCATTGTAGGATACATACAAAATTCTTGATAGCACATCTGGCCGTTCCCGCTAATTGCTTCTATCATAAACATGTGATCGTTCCTTGTGAAAGGAAATCGTCGGATACGATGCTGTTGTCTGTTGTAGTAACTACATGCGTCGCTCTATACAATTCTGCAATACGTAACCCATACCGTCGCATCAGATGCCAAATCCTCAAAGAACTGCCCTTCGTTGCAATCGTCCTCCGAGTCCGACCCCTGCAGCATAACTCAGTTGAAGTTCATGTCTGCCGCTACGCCAAACATGTTGAATTATGTGCAAAGTAGACAACTCCCGTGTGTAATTTTTTTTGCAATGAATGCAACTCGCACACATACGAATTTATAGAATCTTTGCAAGATTGCCTGCAAGTTCCATCATGTCACAACAGTGGTGGTACATCAGTCGCTGTTCGTTGTGAAGTGTGCCTCTGGGTTACAAAGATTGTAGCACAGATGAAATCTTTACTTTTAGAGTTGACCTGACAACTTGTGAAAGTGACCAACTTCAACTTACCTTCAATTGGGCCTACACTGCCTCGTTCGACGTGAGTTTTTCCATTATGTGCTTAAGTGATTGATTGCAATACGCGAAAACAGTTTGAATATCAGCCTATTACGATAATTACTCGCACGCATAATGTACAACGCTGATCGAAAAGTGCATACAAAGTGAAAACGGATTACATAAAACTTTTTACAGATCGATTGCACACAAACATAAAGTTCACAACAATCACAGGTGCAACTGCTTGTCCCGCTCATTGAACATCCACTCGATCCACTCAAATTTCTCATTAACGTCATTCATGACGCCGAGCATGTCCCAGTAGCGCTTCTGTGCAAGAAGTGCACATGCGAAAAAGTAGAGAGGTGTACGCCGCTGCAGTCGTCCCGTCGCCAACAACTCTTCAACGCAAGCAATGCCGGCATTGTTTTTCGAAGTCATCATGGTATTAATTTTCACTGCCACTTTCTCCCCTGCACTGGTGGCACGGTCGATTGAGAACAACAACTCACGCGCTGAGATCTTTTTCTTCTTGCCACGTTGCTTAGCGCTAGAAGACTTCCTTTTACGGCCACTGGTGGTGCTAGAGACGTTTATGCCAACTCCGACGTTTGCTTTGTCCATCTCATCACAAGAACCACTGCTCTCCCCGTCAATCGGGATTACGTCCATATTGTCTTCGAGCACACTATCCTCGAATAGGCAGAATCCAGTTTTGCACAATTTTGTTGGCGTGACTGCGTACTTGTCGCCGAATAGCTGACGGTAGCGAACATAGATATTGTTGACGTCCTTGTCTTTAAATTCTTTATCGTCCTTATTTTCCTGCGAATAAAGGTTTCACCAGTGAGGCTACCATTTTGGGCATTGTAAAGAGTTCTAGAAAAACAATACAACACTGTTAGAGTCACGAGTCACTTTATAGGAAGCCTGATATTTACACGAGAGTTGCGTGCAATAGTAGAAGTAAAAATTACAATTCCGACTTGGGCGTAAGATAAATAAGCCGATTCATTGGTCCTTTCGAATTTCCACAAGTAAACTGGAGTGCAACATAACTGTTTCGACTTACATGCAATGATATAACAACACATCACACGTGTTTCTAGTTTATTTCGTCTGCATTATTATCATTAATTTTTCTCTAACTAGTATATCTTATATTTCTTCCATAAAATATGTTACACAACACAAAAAGGCCTATTGTAATTCATATATATAATTACTTTGACAAATTTTTGCCACTCATTTTAAAGCACCGTAACGAAACATTTGCACATGTAGGCAAAGATTAATGGAACGTTAAAGATAATTTTGTTTCTAAAACAAATTAATCATGTAATATGACGGAATGAATTTTAAAGACTTTCATCGTAATTCAAAACAAACTAATGAAGATGTTTCCTTTGTTTTTGAGGTCCAATTTGTTTCTTGACTCATAGCTATCAAAACTAAAGAAAAAGAAATTCTTTCTGCACTTGTAACCCTTCCAACATATGTCTATCTCACTGATCATTTCGAACAATAATTCGTAAAACTGTCATAAACGGGCAGATATGTTCTTGTTCTAGAATTCCCACATATTTTCTTGGTCCTCAATCTATCTTCGACATCACAATCACATGCTAATCAAAAGTAAAGCAAGTGCAATTAGTTGTAGCCTACATCTTCTAATGTTACAGTTTCATGTAAATTAAAACTTTGAAAAACAGTGGTTACATAATGGAAACTAACATTATATAGTTGGCACTCATGTCGAAAGAAGACTGTATTCCCTATTTCATTCTGGATTGGCATCCAGAAACTGACGTTCGTTCAAGGATTGAAAGAACATACATATCACGTTGGAGTACACAAGGCATTCTATACAATCGTGATATTGATGAGGAAAGTTGTGAAACGGTTACCTTAATCTTTCGGTTCCACCATTCCTTCGATGCGACAATTTGGTCGGTGGATTCGTTGTACGCAACCCCGCTGCTATTTAAAAGCTCAAAGAGACGTTTGTGTGTTCGATGCATTGCATCCCAGCAGTTGCGTAGTTGCTGCTTGCTCCAGTTGTGGCTGGTGATTATTTTGAAAATCGCGGAGACTCGTTGCCAGCCGTAATTCGTAAAACACCGGTCATTCCGACGTCCCTCGACGATGGCAGTTTCACAGGCCGCAATGAAAGTTCATGTATCTGGGCTCCAACGCGCATAAGTTTTGGACCCCGAGGCTCGACCCCCTCCTATGCGAAGGGCGGCTCGCTTAGTGGAACGTTTCCATGCTGCAAATTTAGGAGTCGAACTCAGCAATGACGCAAAATTGAACGGAAAGTGCGGGACAAATGGTGGGGAAAGATGAAGTACCTGTAGGCTGACGAGCTCCATTTGGGGTCGGCGGAGATGCGTTCCGATGGCGGAGTTCTCTGGAAGAGTTACTGCAACGACACTGCCGACGTCGTTGATGCTTTTCCTTGCAAGCTTTCACATGCGTGTCGCTGATGACACCCTAAATCCCGTCTGGTGATTGTGGCGTTCGCGGTGGTCGTCTGGTTTGGCGAAAGTGGACGCTGATCTTCGCTTTCTCGTCTCCACAATGAGAGAGTTTAGGGCTGTCGGTGGAAAGGGTAAAAATTGGAAAGGGCAAAGTTTAATGACTGTGAAGTTTCAGATGGGTTGTCAGAAAAGTGCAGCAGAACGGTCAAATAATATTTTATTGGCAGAAGAAAATGGGAACAAACGGGTGGTTAATTAATGGGGGTGTTCGATAGTCATTTTTATATAAAAATACATTTTAAAATAGTAAATTGATATGAAATGTGTAATTAAAAAATAAAAAATAAAAACTTATTTACTTATAATATTATTTTAATAAAAAATGTATAATGAAAAAGAAGAGGAAGAAAAATACATTTTGAAAAAAATATTACCAAACGAGGCCTAAGTTGTCTTGAATGTGGAGTACGCAAGCTCCTGTCAAGATAATTACACTGATTCTACGTAATAAAAGCGTGTTGTCAGTACTCAAAATAAGTCAAATTTTCCGTCCTGTTAATTAACGTGATCCTTAAAAGTTACTTTTTCCCCTTACACAAATAACTTCCTAAAGACAGCAGTAATGTCCTCAAATTTTTAAGAGTAATGTGAAATAGCCCCACTGAGGTTGAATTAGTGTAATAAAAGCAAGTTTTCAGTACTCAGAATAAGTCAAATTTATTTTCCACTTAATTAATGTGATTCTTAGAAGTTACTTTTTGTCCCCGTAATTCATAAAAACAGAAGTAATATGTCCTTAAATTTAAGAGGGATATATAGCATTACTAAGGGAAGCAGACATTTTGGCCTTCCTAAATGATAAACTTATATTTTATATATATATTTTTAATTAAAACGATTGAGAGATTATATCTCAACGTCAAAAGCTGGCAAGAACATTAACAAAAGGCAGACAGCTAAAATTGTTTCTGAAAAAGCGCAAGAGAAATGGATGCAAATGTAGTCTTTAAATAAAATAAAAAATAAAAAAATCAACTTGCTACAACAAATTGAAGTTGAAAAAAATAGTAAGGTACAGAGCTTTGATATTGCCAATTCCATAAAAGTGATCCAAGCAAAAATTAACCAGCAATAATAAATCCTTAACAGCTTCATGCCTACAAAACCAAAGTAGTCGTCAATTACATGAACGGAAGAAGAGCAAAATGTATCGAAATGCAAAAAGAGAGTGTTTTTATTTTTATTTATTTTTAATTTTTATGTCCGTGGGTATTCGGACCAGCACGCACACCTTGAATAATTCCACGGAACCCTAAAATTTGCAATCGGATACTCACCTCAATGATCCTGAGGGGACTCGAACTGGTGATCATTAGGGGACAAACTCAAAGCCTAACCACTGAACTACCCCTCAAAGTTGCAAAAAGAGAGAGTTGAAGCAACCATTGGCACATAACAAGACAGATACATGTCTTCCCAAATAATCAATTAAGATGGAGCAATCAATAAGCAATATTTCAAGTACCAGCGCATTCTAGATATTACCAAGTGAACTGGCTGTAATTGCAGGATTTCTCTTATGGGTATAGCATTAGTAAAAATCAATAAGATACTTCGTGCTGTAAAATGTCATAATTATCACTCGGGCTAGTTTTAACGGCGAAAAAGACTTATCCATGCACTTGCCTTGCCAGCGATGTTGCTTGAAAGCCAATCCAACCCTTCATAAAGGCCCTCCCCCGAGGTTGCACATGTGCTCTGGATATACCTGGAGCAATTGGCCGTACAAAATGAGAGAAATTTCAAAGCTCCATGCATGAAACGGACTTTTAATTCCAGAAGTTTCGCAATAGGCTACCTATGTCTTCTCTTGAGAGTTACAACTTTATGGATGATGTAAACAAAACAAAACAAAAAATGCATCATATATGAAGTTGGATTGACTAAAACTACTGAGTTCATTTTCTCGTGGAAGTAATTATTTCTGCCTCTCATAATCAATTGCTCAAACTACCTAAAGAAAATACAAGAAAGATCCAGTATAATTAAACACGGGCAAAGTATAAGAAAATCTTACCAATGACGTTGACGAAGAGAGTGGAGGCCAAGTTTGTCTGTAATTTCTGCAGCATTCATTGCATTAGGCAGATCTTGCTTATTAGCAAATACAAGCAAGACAGCATCCCTCAATTCATCCTGGAGGCATAAGAGATACAATATTTAAAACTACATTCACGAGGGAATAAAGACCTAAAATAAACAAGTAATAAATGAAAATGTGCCTCGTTCAACATTCTGTGCAGTTCATCTCTTGCTTCGACAACTCGATCCCTGTCGTTGCTATCAACCACAAAAATTAGACCCTGAGTATTTTGGAAGTAGTGCCTCCACAATGGACGGATCTGAATGAAAGAAAAATGGCAATCAGCTAGAGCCTAGTGGGTGTAAGTATATAGTGAGGGCAGGCAACAAGAATAGATGGAAGACATCTACAGATGCACACCATTCATTTTATTGACATAGATAATATAGGAGAGGAAAATTGTCAAATGCTGAAAGGCAGCAACATTAACAGATGTAGCACACACATATAACATACAGGTAGATTCAACATCATTGCAGTGAAGCCACATTTCGCTCATTATATTTTTAGGATTAATTAAAACCTTCATCATTAGAGTCTACCGGTATTTCCTCCATAAATATCAGGGATAGCAAGCGGTTGGACTTGTCAAGCTCGAGCATTGTCTATCATGACTAAATACAATAAATACATTTAAGAGCTTTATGAAGGAAAAGGAAACGTTTGAAATTTATAGAAAGAGATTGAAGTACTCGGTGTCTCCAGCATAAGTAATTCAAATCACCAGTGCATCAAAAAAAGTAAGGTAAAGGGATAAAAAAATACATCAAAATGCGTAACTGTGTAATTTACAATAACTTTATGCGAACATTTCACTAGTATTTTTAGAGAATCCGGAAATATTTCAAAGATAACAAGAAATAATCATTCACAAGGCTCCCCTCTGTCAGGGAAAACCATTACATATACGGAACCTATGATTTGGAGTCGAAGCTTAGTGACAATCACAGGTAAAGCAATATTAAAAATTTATAAAACCTCTTAAACATGATAGAAGACAACATTTAACGTAAGAGCAGAATCCTCGATAGTAGATAATTATAAAGCTCTCATCTGAAGTGGATCTGAACGTAAACAGGTACCAAATCAGACCAATGAAAACGAATCCAACCATTCTCGCGCAATCAGATCCACGATCAACAATACTCATACTTAAAACGCGATTCTAGTGTAAAATTCAAAGTTGTCCAGTGAAATTAACAGATTCAACTTAAAATGCACAGAGGCACTGGGATCGAACAAAAATTCAGCTAATTATCGACAAATACATGTATTGCACACACATATATATACACACATAACCAGCTTCAGAAATCAACTAACATCTAGCGAGTAATGACCGATTGCAAGTGAAAAATGACGACATAAATGGGAAGAACCAGAGGTGAGAAGGCTTTTTACCTTCTCGAAAGCTCCGCAGAAGAGTGGAGTGGAGAAAGAGAGGATTCGAGGAACGTTAATCTCAGACTATTCTTCGCTATTTGAAGACCGACGGAATGATGACCACGATTGTCGTTTTATGCATTTCTTTGGTTGCAATTTGCATCAAGCTGTGTGCCGAATAGTGCACAGCCACGAAACGTTTGGATCATTGGATGGATCATGTTTGGTACGAATTAAAATCTAATTTTAATTTAAATTTAAATTAAAAAATTAATATTAACCATATTTTTTATGATTTCACAATTTTTTAATTACATATTTCAAAATTTTTTATCACAATCTACTATAAAATTTAATTTTAATCCCTATCAAACACGCTCTAAAATGTTTTATTTATGCCTCATTTTAAAAAAAATTCAAGATGCAATTATTGCTTTCAAACTATTTTCAATTTTTAGTTTTGTAGAATATTAAAACGTGTTCGATCTTATATCTAAAAAAATGTATTTCCAAAAACAAGGTACAACTTATAATATAAAATTCAAAATACATTTTTTACGTTTTGAGTGTTTTCTATGAAAATCCTGAAAACACTCAAAATATGAAAAACAATCATTTATAAAAAATTTTATTTAAATAAAACTTTAAAATTTTAAAATCTCAAAAAATTATAAATATAAATTTATAACAAATTTCAAATTCTAAAATTCTAAAAGTTTTTAGAGAAATGAAAATTATAAAAAATAAAAGTAGTTCAAGCTCATGATTATTTATATCAAAATTCTAAAAAATATTCTTAGCCACGTCATTAATTTTTATTTTTTTTATATTTTGAACTCAATTTATTATTTATTTTTATTTTAGTTTTGTAGGTAGAAAAATATTGTAAGGTTCACGAACCTTGAAATATATATAACTATGAAATCTAACTAATTATTCTTGATGCAACTCTTTTAGAATATGCTTTAACACTTCATCATACTCTATGTAAAACACATCTATCTCAACAATAATAGATGTAGTGGAGTCAAGGATTGAAAGGCGTGAAATATTTTTGACAGCTTGCTTAACTACTTGGATGGCTAAATTATGCTCGTAACTTCATGGATCAGGGTTTTTCGGTAGCCTTTTGAACAGAGTGGCACAGATTTGATGTATACTTTTGACAAAATCAGCAACATAATTTACACTGCCTAGAAAACGCTATAAACTTATTTTATCTAAAATTTCATCTGAAAATTCATCGGTGAACTCTAGATTTCTTTGAATATGAGTAATATTTTTCATATGAATGTTATGTTCTAGAAACCTAATCTTTAATCAACAAAGAATAATTTTCTTAATAGAGACTGCTAAACCATTTTTCTTAACAACATGAATAAAAGCATTTAAATATTTGAAATGCTTTAAAAAATATGAGAACATCATCAATGTAAACAATAATAAAATTTGAAAAATGATTGAAAATATCATTTATAATTTTTTGAAATACAGAATGAGCACCTTTGAGACAAAATGTCGTATCAATCCATTTATATTGGCCAAAAGGAACATTGAAATCAATTTTGTATCTATCTTCTCCTTTAATTTGAATTT